AAATCATGGCCAAATCTCTATCTCTTGGAATCTTGGCCGATAAAATCTCTATCTCTTGGAATCTTGGCCGGTTATCTCGTAGAAGCTTGGGAATGATCGACGTCACCCGGGATCTTGGCTATGGCCAGGGTTAGCCTGGGCATGCCAGGGTTTAAACGGCCAGGGTAGGCAAGCCAGGCTAGCATGGGATTGGCATGCTGCAAACATGGATTGGCCAGGCTAGGGTGGACGGTCAGGGTTAAAGATGTAAACATGGGTTGGCTAGGGTGGACGGCCAGGGTTAAAGATATAACCATGGGATGGCTAGGGTGGACGACCAGGGTTAAAAGACCCTGACCCTGGGAGTTCCAGGATGCAAGCATGGGAAGGCCAGGGTTAAAACTATAGATTGCATATACCCTGACCCTGGGAGGTCCAGGATGCAAGCATGGGAAGGCCAGGGTGTACATCATGGGTGGCCAGGGTTAAAACTATAGATTACATATACCCTGACCCTGGGAGGTCCAGGATGCAAGCATGGGAAGGCCAGGGTGGACGGCCAGGGTAGGTAGTCAGGGTTAAAACTATAGGTTATATAGACCCTGACCCTGGGGGTCCCTTATGGCTTCAACCATGGGTAGGCCAGGGTAGAAATCAAGGGTGGCCAGGGTTAAAACTATAGAATATATAGACCCTGACCCTGGGGGTCCCCTATGGCTTTCCATAGCTTTAGCTATACAGCGTCCTACCATATTCGAATCTCTGCATGCATGTTTATAATCCGACTTTAACGTTTTCTTTTTATATATGTGACAATTAATTAATCAACTTTGTACAATATATTGTTGTTGGCCTTTCACATTAAGGTTCTATAAAAGGAACGATAACACATAAGAACTTGTTTAAAACGGGTCCGAGGAAGCTCAATAACAGTATGTAACCGTTTTTAAACATGTCAAGTTTAAGCATTTTCAAAGTGTTTCTTAACTGTTCGTGGAATCCAGTGCTTATAAATTTTAGTCTATATATCTACCTTATTCATCATGTAGTATCGGCATTGCACAATGATAAATAAATGAAATTTATTTGTAAGTAAAAACTGTAATTAATCCACTATCTATACATTTTGAGCTAATTAAATTTTTTTGTTAAATTTGATCTTTGATCTTTGTTCAGTTAAAAGAATCAGATAATTAGTTGACGCATTTAATTGTAGAAATAGACGAATGCACACATAAGAAACATGGTGTTAAGGTTTCGTCAAAGGTCAGAATGTTTAAAAATTTATTTTTACAATAGCTCCAAAACTTTGAATGGTATAAAGTCAAAACGTGTACAGTTTATAAATATATCATTGATTCATAGTTAGAAAGTATCACTTGATACCAAATATTTTTAAAAAAAGATATTTTTTGAGAAAAATAATATCAGAAAATGTGCATATTTTAAGAAAAAAAACACCAGCTTAATTCCGTCCTTTTTGTGAAAACCAACATTGTAAAAATAATATTTGTTTATCATTGAAGGGCAAGTTGGACGTAAATGGTCTCTGAAAGGGTGTTATTGAAAGAATGGCATGTATAAAGATGAAACCCCTATAGAATCCACCATTTGCAATGTACTTTCACTTTCAAGTCTTTACTTTTGGACAAAAAAATGGGGAAGACAACTTTCCAGATGCTATCCATGTCCAACTTGCTCTTCAATGCTTAACACATTTTGTTGTTGCAATGATGTTTTTCACTAAAAAAACGGAATTTATTAGGTTTATTTTTTTTTTAATTTATGCATTTTAAGAAGAATTTTTTTCTCAGTTAATATTATTCCAAGTATTTTTTTAGCAAGTAATATTTTTTTCTGTTAATCAATGAGAAATTTATAAACTGTAAAATGTTTAACTTTTTACCTCACATAGTTTTCGGACTAGTGTAAAAATAAATTTTTGGACATTAAGCAATAAAAAAACTAGAGGTACTGTGAGCAATGCTCTAACTAATTACTTCGCCTTCAATGTAAATGATAGAATATTATAGATAGAAAGTATCACTTGATAACAAATATTTTGAAAAAGATATTTTTTTTATAAAAATTGTATCAGAAAATGAGCATATTTAAAGAAAGAAAGATACACCAGATAAATCTGTCCTTTTTATGAAAAGCAACATTGTAGAAATAATATATGTTTATCATTGAAGGGCAAGTTGGACGTTAATGGTCTCTGAAAAGCTGTTCTTGAAACCATAACATGTATAAAGATAAAACCCCTATAGAATCCGCCATTTGCAATGTACTTTCACTTTCAAGCTTAACATTTGGACAAAATATATAATCATAGTTATTCCCCTAACTTTTTTCTCACTGAAAGTATTCCAGAACAGTCATGTTCAAATATATACATAAAAGATGAATTTCTAAGAGTAAAGATTGTTAAAATTTTAATTTACATTTATAAAGTTAATTTTACACAGACACCATAATCGACTGGAAACAGCATTCATTTCATATGGAACATCCTTGCGATCTGTAGCGTGCTAATCATAATGCTCCCTCTGATGCTAATTTCAACATTGTATTCCTCATGCACATGACTAAAAACAAGACCCCCATCTCCTGAAGATGCCATAGCGCTGTTATCCTGATTTCTAAGAGTAAAGATTATTAAAATTTTAATCTACATTTTTAAAGTAAATTTTACACAGACACCATAATCGACTGGAAACAGCATTCATTTCATATGGAACATCCTTGCGATCTGTAGCGTGCTTATCATAATGCTCCCTCTGTTGCTAATTTCAACATTGTATTCCTCATGCACATGACTAAAAACAAGACCCCCATCTCCTGAAGATGCCATAGCGCTGTTATCCTGACTGCCTCTAGATTCATCATATTGGGCAACTTCATTGCCAACGTAGCTTCTATTTACATTTCCGTCCTTATTATATGTGCCTTTTTCTTTCTTAGCATATCTGTATATTGCACAGCAGAAGACTAAGCTCTTTAAGTAAAAACAAAAATTCTTCAATATAAGTTTCACATAAAAAGAATTCAAGAGACCTTTCACATTTATTACAACCGCTTTGTATGTGCAATATTGCTTGAACTTACCAAAAGCATCACGTAACATGATGCTGCAAGGGAGATATAAAAGCTCCAGCCCTTCTCGTGGTCTCTGTAGTTGCTGGCAACAAGCATACACCCAGCAAAGCCAATTATTCCTATGTAAATGAAGCCCATTTAGGAATTCATTAATAACAAGAGAGCTGACCCTAAGGAGCTGAAATCTTCTTTTAAAAGGTTGATAAGTGCATATAGCAACGGTTGCTGAGAGTGGTCGATACTACTCCACTATCCACTCTCACCTTAAATCAATGGAGACAATAAATTGAAAGCTGAATTAAATGAGAACATAGCCTTACAGGTGAAAATTGCATGACAAGCCTCCCTCAGTGCTCACTACGGATTTGGAGGAAAAAAACATGGAAAGTGATTACATGTACAAGAATTGTAACCTTTAGTCTTGTCTTTGCAAAAACGTAGAAACAAAAAATGATTATTAGAATATAAATATTTATGGAATCACTCTCCAGTGTGTTTGATATGACGGGCAAAGCCAGTTATGCATAAATTATCCAACGTTTCTAAATTCCTTTGATGCCCGAACATACCCAATTTGATAAGACAGTGATTCCTTATATTCCCATTTCATTCTGAGATACAACTGTAAATTTGGTTTAGATATGCAGTCTAAATGATTTAAATTACACGAAGCCTCATCATATTTCAATTTCAATAGTCTCTGATCACTTCTGAAGTCAGACAGTTGTGGTCCCTGTTAACTCGAATTACTCGTGAACGATCCGTAAATTGCTACGACTTTTTAAACTGTTCAAAACAATCATGGAAAATCGCGATGCAACGTCATTTCTTGTATATAGTAGTTACCTCGTATTGTATGCCTACCATCACCGTGTGACCATCGTATAGGCTTTCATTATGTTTCTGGGCCATCCGTGACACGTAGGTCTACGCTTACTCAAGGACGTCGACGACTGCAGCAGGGAAATTAAAAGATATGATTATACACGATAATTCGTAACTAACCGTTAACCCTCGGTTGTAGTAAGAAAACGACAAGGAAACAATACAGAGATTCACGAATAATTGCGGCGAACCGTTTTTTCTTACATTGTTATTACGGTAGCTGTAATGGTTTTGACGTCTAATCACGTGTTTTCACGATTAAATTTAAATACCTTTTAACAATTTTGTATGTATTTCTAAAATATAACAGTTATCTGAAAATACGTAAACTTTTATAAAGATTTTGAAAATACATGTGAGAACGAGCCACTTATATTAATGATGACCGTCAAGCAAAAACCACCCTTATGTGCATTATGACGTTTTCGAGAAAACGAGCGCTAAAGTTGACGTCATAAATGTATGCCTCATTTCGCAAATAAATGCAGTGTGAAAACGCATCATTATTAATTATAATATTTCTTCATACAGTAAATGCTTATACTAAACAACATATAATGAGTAGTCTTAAGTGTAATTATTACAGCTCACTGTTTAGTATGAAAAAAAAAATAATGATTAACAGCAAACTGAAGGTGAAAATCCTTTGAAGTAGTGAATATCACGATCTTCGCCTTCATTTTCATTTTCCAGGAACATTTTCTTTTAATTACTTCTAAAACACTCTTTTTACTTCTAAAACACAACTATTGGGGAGAAATCGCATATTATCTTTAGACTAGTGCAGCAACAAAATGAACATCGATCTACTCTTATTCAACATTATTTGTGTCACTATTTATTGATATTTTTCTATATTAATGATAAAAATCATAGAAAACCTTATTTAAGTGTAAAGCCGAGGCGTTGGATGTCATACAAAGGTGTGTAAGTTTATTGCAAACTAAACAGCGTTATGTACCAATAATCATAAACAAGCTTGAAGAAACGGGGAGGCAGGTCACAGAAATATAATTTATCAGTATAACATGAAGTTGGAAAACAAAGCCCTCGGTACAATTTGGCCAGAAAAAAAATACTGAAACAAATGAAAAAGTTCGTTTTGTTTTGCTTCAATTGTTATATTGCTTGTCAAGATCCCCCCCCCCCCAAAAAAAGGAGAAATAAAAAATGAATCGCTTCCTATGTGTATAAAATAATATACATGTGTTTCATAACATGTCAACATGTACAAATACCGCTAAAGAAGGGAAGTAACCTGCAGTATAATTATTTATTGTTACCTGGCAACAGGAAGTGTTCAGTATTCACCACTTCCTCCAAAGATATTTCGGTATCTGTGTATATCTTATTTGCATGTTCTTTCTATTTAGAGGGGAAAGTAGGAACTGTCAATTATTCATTTTTTTCATATTTGTTAGAAAAGAGTTAAAAACAAACTGATATTTTTTTTATTTTCAATCTGTTGGAATAATAATGTAACATTATGAATCTTTCTATTAGTTAATCAAAGACGAATGCTACCTACATGTGTAGATAATAAATTATCATTAAAATGAAATTATTAAACTCTAAATTGTGTTGTATCCCAATACTACTGGTTTGGAGTGGGTATAAGCAACTTATATTTTGATTAGGTTATGGAAATTAAATGAATTAAATTGATTCAAATAAAACTTGAAACTGATGAAATATTTAGCATGTGGCTAATTACACCAATTAAGCTATTAATTTTAATGTGTCATTTAATCAACCAACCAAACCACAATACACAACTGTACAGTGACCTAGCATCGTTTTTTGAAGGGGGGGGGGGGGGGCAGCCAGAGAAAAAAAATTAACTTACCTTAAAAAAAAGTTGCCAAGCAAAACAAAATGCTCAAATTCGAAAATCCTATTTCGTGGGAGGGGGGGGGATAACCCGGATAAGCCAGCAGGAAGTAGACATACACCATAATCAAGGCTGTTCATACAACCCGCTGCACCCCTCTCAACAGAATTACATATGATATGTACGACAGGTGCAATATGTACTGGACTATTCTTATGAGCTTTCGATTCCCGCTCCACGTGCATGTTCATGTATGACAACCTGACCTACAGTATTTTCAGAGTATATAATATTTGGCCATGCATTGTATACTTAGTATATTTACATACTATTAGTATAATGCTCTCTCTCTCTCACTCTCTCGGAATTATTTCAATGATTTTTGCACGAATTGTCTCACGTAACTCGGACCGCATTTATTATGTCCAGAATTTATGTGCGAGTATTGTATATTTTGGTCATTGTTTCAGAAAGTGTATTTCAGGGAAACTTTTTAGATTCTATAGGCGAAATCAGATTTTATTTAAAGTGTACATATGACAATGCTTCATATTCATTTCTTTTTAATGTCAAAACGAATGTCACTCCAGGTGCACGTAACGCATGCTTAAAAAGGAAGCAGCCATTACCCACCCTCTAAATTTACGTATTAAAAAATTTATCCTGATTTTCATCCTGATAAATATTTTTTTATTTAAAAAATATGGACATTAGTCACACGGCAAACTACGAATTCACTCCTGGAAATGCATTTTTACATGCAAAGTTGAAAGAAAAACGCATATAGGTAAGGTTTTAATTGTCTTAATTTTAGCAAATTTGTAGTCTATAATCAAGCAGGAAAAACAAATTGTCAATTATTTTCCAATAATTGATTCTTTTCCTAAAGCAGACATTTATTCATCATGGAGACTTGCTATCAGTCAAAAATTTTACTTCCTATGCAAGTCCTGTACATTGATAAAAGGTGGTGGATATTTGAATTCCATTAATAAGTAAAATATATAGAGACTGAGAGAAGTTGATTGATGTGTGAACTTGCTTTCCACCACGAGGCGCGACAAATGCACATTTGCAGAACATAAGAAAGAGGGGGGGTTTCCTTCCAATTACTAGAAGTTCAGTGCCAAATTTAAAGTTTCAATGGGTATAAATTATATTGCAGCAATGTGTATTATATGCATCTTTAATGCAGGGTCAGAGTAGACAATTACTTTGATAAAGCGCTTCTAGCCATTTGTGCGAGATTAATAGAAAGATGCAATCGAATCTGTTCCTCAAACTGCTCCAAAAAGAATAAATTCGTTTGGAAAAAAAAACAAGGACAGAAAGAATTTTCGACGAACGCCTTGATTTCATTTATGTGTGAAATAATATACTCTCTCTCTCTCTCTCTCGTCGCAGGTTCGAATCCCACTGTGGGACGTGAAGACCGGTCCTTCAGATGAGACCGTATAAACCGAGTTCCCCTGTCGTAGTAAGCGCTGGCACGAAAAAAATTCGTACCCGCTCAATGGCCCTGACTACAGAGTATAGGACATTTTTTTTTTCCACTGGAAAGTGATGGTGTCTCAATATATGAGTGAAAAATTCTCGAGAGGTACATTCAACAGTACAATCAATCTCTTTCCTTGGAAATGATAGGTCCGTTTGTTATCAGAATGCCCCTTATTAGCAGACATAATTTCTGTATTCCAATTTATTCAAATTCATATACATGAGACACAGGAAAGTTTTTTCTGTGGATTTATAAATTAAGATATCGACAACGTACATTTATTATTAATTCGCAACAGTTACTTTCACCCTTATGTCAACTCGACATACCATGATCATGAAATTGTTCAATCACTAAATGACGAAAAAAAAATTCTTAAACGAAAGAGCATACAAACTATCAATCTGATCTGAACTGTGTATTTCTTTTTTTTTGGGGGGGGGGGCATAAAAGTCTCTAGTTGAATCTGAGTTTTCGAGATTTTACAAGCATAGACCTGTAAACAATAAACCCCCTCCCCTAAAAAGAAAAATAATCTGACAAAAAAGATTGTAAATAAAGAAACAAAACATCTCCTGTCTCTTTTTAAGGGGGGAGGGGTAATAAAAACCTGATTTTTCTTCTAAAATGCTTACAGTATCGATTATAAAAAGTGACAATCACAATGTAATTAAATAAAAATCACTTATTTAATGTTATTTGTTGTCAGAGGTGATTTTTCTTGTGCTGTTTTTACAACACAGCCATGGAAAAGTGATAACAAAATAATTGACGTTATCAGATAAATCACAGCGTCATGACGAAAAAATTGTATTTTTTATTTGAAAATTTTTCTAATAATTAGTCTTTGAACAACAACATGTTATATATCATTAGAAAGAGGAGAAAATTTTCTATCAGGATCA